TGTGGCTCTAATATGTATATGGGGAATTTTTGTTTTCTTTCCTAACTGTGCTTGTAGCATAGAACGATTGTGTATGAAGTAACCTCTCACTCCTGTCGTTTGGCAGTTTCAGTCTGCAGATGTTGATCCACAGATGGGTTGAATTTACTTAATTTCCATGATTATATTTCCTTGCTTTGTCATCCATGTGATGACTCTCCCCAGCCCACCCTGCTTGTTTTGTGATTGGCCAGCTGCTTCCATCTCTACACATCAGGTACTCTGTGTCGAAACTAAGGGACATATAGGTCCAGTGGTAGTTTTGTGTCGATGTGTTGACTGAAACAATCAATACTAAAGAGGAAATCATAACCGCTAGTCAATCAAGCATTAATTAAAACTGTGAACTGTTTGTCCAAATGTTTTCATTAAAGCAATGCCTTATTGTAATGAATCCCATATGCTCTTAATTGCTACAATCATGCTTTTGTTTAGTCTCCTTGTCTTAGCTTTTTGTGCAATATTCCTGATTGTAATTAACCAGCAGAACCAGCAGTAAAAGCCTGTTCAGTGATAGATGATATGGTATATACAGTTTACCTGAAAAAGACCAAATTAAATTGAAGAAGTCTAAAACTCTTAAAAGTAAAACAATCGATAGGTACATATTGGAAATTTGCTGAACTACTCTCAGTACATGAATTTGCTTTTTTAGGGGGGGTTTACTGGCTTGTATTCAGTGCTTTTGTGTTCTTTGTATCAGTCAGAAGACCAGGGAAGTAGATGTCTTCATGGTTTTGCTTAGTTCCTTGAAATCAAGGCCAATCCAAAGGGTCTGAATATTAGTCAGTGTATTCAGGTTGGGTACAATCTCTTTGTATTGCCACACGTCTTTGGTGTGTGTCATCATGTCTAATACCTGAGAGGGTCTAGATGGATTCCCTATCAGCTACAGGGCCAAAATATTTCATCATCATTGTCAGGGAGAAATGCATTTTTAAAGTCAGAGTCAACTCTAAAGTACAAAGTAACTGTACCTTTATAGATGGATTATTATGATATGCTGCAAGGCAACCCCATTATTTGAAGATCTGAGGCAAGTTTCATAACGTCCCAACTCACGATTTGGTCAGATAACCTATCAAGACAATTCAGACCAAACTCAAGGCAATTGAGAACTGAGCAGTCCCAAGGTGAGACGTTTCAGTTCTAAGTCAAGGCAAATCAGTACCGAGTAGTTCCAAGTCAAATCTAAATCAGGTCCTAGCAAGTCAATGCAATTAAGTCAAGATAATTAGATCCCAGGTCAGGTCCCAAGTCAAGAAATTCAGAACTGTGCAGTCGCCAATCAGGATAACAAAACCGAAGTTCCAAATTCCAAGTGAAAATACTTCAGTCCCTAGTCAAATCTTGAGTCAAATTAATTCAGTCCCAAGTCAAGATAATTAAGTCCCATATGAAGTCTCAAGTTAAGATAAATTAATCTGAGTCAATTTATTAGTCAAGCCAACTAAGTCTCAAGTCAAGACTCAAGTCAAAACACCTTTCGTCCTGGGTAAAATACTAAATCAAGACGACAAACAAGGTATGGAGCTTCAATTGTTTCCAAGGTTTTGGACCTGAGAACAACTCTAGGTCGTAAAGTCTGTGGACTCGAACTGTCCATTCCAAATCTCCCAATGATAGTCAATGTGGTTCAAGTATCATTGATTGTAAACAATTGAACATTGCTATTTGTTCAGATATTTAATTAGATGGATACTGTACATAAAAAGCTGAATACAAACGTTTATCTGTGATCAGGACTGTTTTATTACAATGGCAGCCAAGCTGTGTCTCATAACACATCATTCTATGGTTTTGTTGAAATACGCTCCCGTACGCATGTTTTTGTTTATTAATTGTCATTTTTTGACAGTGAAGAATCTGAAAAGTCGGCCAAACTGATCTTGAATTAAAAAAAATCCTTTCTCAATGTTCTGCTTTAATTCATATTAAATGATGTCAATTAGCGATAATCTTTTCCCCAAAATTGTTGTCATTGTACATAGTTTATTTTCTTGGAGAGTGCTTGTTAGGTAATGAATTGCATTCGATAGCTTTTGGTAAAAGAAGGGTGTTAATGGTTTAGTAGACTACAAATACAACTGTCTGTGCCAATTCACTTGGCTCAGCTGATCACACTTTCTGCTCTTTCTTTTCACTTCATTAATAATGATGTCATCCCAAGAGCCTTTTTCTCGATGTGCAATATTTCCTGTTTATGCAGTATAACTCTATAGCCACTTTTTAAAATGTTGTGAGGTCCATTTGCTGTCATAAAGGCTTTGTTGTCATTGTTGTTTAGGACTGTATTGTCCTTCATATTTTTTTTTATAATACAGCTAAATGTGGTATGAATGAAAACGGGTGTCAGTGTAATTGCACAAATAACTGAATACTAATTTAAAGGCTTCAAAACAACCAATTGTGACTTCTTGTGCAGTTTTCTGTTTGTTTTCAAACTACTGAAGCACATCATGAATGTATTGTATACATCAGTGGTTCTCAAACTTTTTACACCATGTACCACATTAGAAAATACATCACCAAGTACTACTATTATGAAGGCCTAACCTATTTAGCAACAGACATTTCACGGAAGAGGAAGGTTTATTCCTTGTGAGAAAATTATTTCTTTTTGACTGTTGTCAGCCACAGCCACGCTGTACAAAAGTGTAGTTCTAGAACTGGCACTTAAACACTTACACACACTGGTGTATGGAAGTGTCAAATCTCACTCCGCCTCCTCCAACGAAACTCTACTGTGGAAACTTCTAGTGATCACGTTTGTCCCGAGTTAAATTCGTCATTATGAGCGGTTGATTATATAAAAGAATTGTGAAGCTTATTAATGATCCCAGAACCTCTCTCAGCTGAAGTATCATGACTCGCTGCAGTTTACAAGTAGATTTGTTTGTCGCCACAATATCAACACTGATCATCACATAATGGTCAATACTTTTATTAATGAGTTAAATCTTTATTCTGAGCAGCGCGAGCATTCATCAGCCGTCACACTCGCTCTTTTCCTCTCTCTCTCTCTTCCTCTCTCTCTCTCACACACACATATACACAGTGTGATAGGACACGTGTATAAACTCAGTCTGAGTAAAAATCAACAGACTTTGTAAACTTAGTAAATGTATGTAGAGCTGGAGCTTTTACTCCTTATGTTCGCTAACACAAATCTGTAAACCACACATGGAGATTAATGGATGAAAAGTATTTTGCTTCAAGAGCTGAAAATACTGGTCAGGCGGCCTCTCAATTGGCTGTTTTTCTACATGGGACTTTTGCTACACTTCTGTCGTGGCAGATCCGCAAATGAATGCAGCGATCTGCTGATATGTGTAGAGATTTGTCTGTGTTTTCAGGAGCTGCAGCCTTCATGCCACAATGAGGGTTCTGCCACAGTGTAGCAAAAGCCATTAGTCACCTTGTATGCATTTACAGATGTGTCTACACATTGACAGATATAAAAGTACTTCTAAAATGTGAATACTTGTTTGATTCATTCCACTGACACTGTGAATTTAAAGAAATTATTTGCTCAGCTTAACCTATTCAGTGCAACCACCTGAACAACTAAACCACAGACAAGCCTTCAACACACTGAGCTGCTGAAGGAAAGAGAGAGGAAAGAAAGAGACTCACACGCCAAAAAAAAAACTGAGGGGGAATGAGTGTGGTGTGTAGAACTGGGGACAATAAAAGAAAAGTTCAAACTGACAGAAGAGCAGTGCACACAGTTTAATACTAAAGCCTCAGTGGCAGAACTCAAACAGATCAGGAATCTGGAAAATAAACATCAGGAGCTAAGTGAAGAACTGGAGAGGATGAAACAAAAACTGACAGAAGAGCGGTGCAAGTTGGCAACACAGAACTCAAAAACTATCACACTAATACAAGAAGCTAATTAATACAAATAGGGAGAGAGGAGGAACTGGAAAAAGAGAGAGAAAATAGACAGATGGCTGATGCTGTAGCTCTGAAGGCAATTGAGCAGGAAATAGAATTTAACAAGAAAGAGAATCTGGAAAATGAAAATGTGGAGCTCTTGAATTCACTGACAAGTGGGAGAGGTTTCATTGCTGACCTCCAAATGGAACTGTCCAAAAATGGGAGATTCTGCTGATTTTACAGTTGAACTTGATAAAACTTCGATGATGATGAGGTCAATTCAAAGCTGTAGTCTGAAAACCAAGTCAAATGTTGCCCAACACTCAAAGATCCATGTCATTGTGACCTTTGACCACAGAAAACACATTACTTCATCTTTGATTCCAAGTGACAACTGATTCAAAGTTGAAGAAGTCCCCTCAAGATTGTGAAATATCACTTTCAAGAGACCAGAAACATGTGTTTTGGGGCCACCGTCACCTTGACCTTTGAATATTTGAAGATATTTTCTTCACACATTTTCAAATCCAATTACACACAAATTCTGAAATGTATTTGCTGATTCTTTATGTACATATTTGCAAATCCAATTACACACATATACACAGATTTGAAATACGGATTTGAAGATTGTTTGCATCCATGT